AGGAAGCTTAGAAGGGCGGGTGTTTGGGAATATCAGGTTGAAGAGGAAGGATACAGAATGTTATTCTCTAAGGAGTCAGAGCTCGAAGAGGAATAGATAGTGCGAAGACGGGGATATGTGTTTTTTTTTTTTATCAGCAAAAGAAAACTTTATTGAAGGAAGCATACAAAGTATGATAGAGTATATCAATAAAGAGGAGCTTGGAGCTTTAGTGAGAGACCAACAAACAAAGCAAAAACAACAAAGGCAATCAACAAAACAACCACTACATGCAGCCACTGATGAGCTTAGCAGAACAACATGACAGCTTCAGCAGACAACCAACAGATTAGATCAGCAACTAACAGATTAGATCAGCATCTTAGCCACTAATAGCAGACTACCAGCAGATTAGTTCATCAATCACACCCTCTTAATAGTCGCCATAATTACCAAGACAGCATTGAGCAAACCATAAACTACCAGACTAGCACCAAGACTAACACCAGGACTGATAGCAGACGAACAGATCAGCAAGCCAATTAGACTAATCACCCAGCACTTCAATCAATGACATCTCCTCAACTTAATACACCATAACCTTTCACTCATGCAGTGCAGATTAAGACGGAATACAGCTCAAAGACAGAATGCAGCTGTTGATGCTCACCCTTTCAGATTATGACCCACAAAACTGAAGAATACTGTTGATGCTCTAACAACATAGGCACCTTCTAACCTCAATAGTAAAGCCTGATTTGCCTCCAATTGACAACCACATCCTCAACTGAGAGGGGAAGTCCTTATGAGAAGCTTTGAACCAAAGAGCTAATCTGATCTTCATTAGTTCCCACAAATCTGCAGAATTAGGATGAGCATCACTAAAAACACACTCATTCCTATGCCTCCAAAGAGACTAGAGAACTACTAGTGGAATTGCTTCCCAAAATTTCCTGAGTGGATGCTTAAATTTACCACCCCTCCACCAATTGAACAGGCCTGCCACAAATTGTGGAATACACCATTAAAGCCTCTAGTCATGTAACACTGATGACCAAATGGTCCAAGAGAAATGGCAATGAAGCAGAACATGAGAAGCAGATTCAGGAGCCATTTTGCAGAAAATACATAAGGGTGAAACATTGTTGCCAAGAATGCTAATATTGAGCAGAAAAACAACTGTTTTGATTATATTTTTCCAGACTAACCATCCAAAAACATGGACTTTGGGGGGTAAGATATTTCTCTAAACGAACTTGCAAATGTTGAGATGAGGCCCAAGGAGAGAATTGCAAAGAGAGTATAAAGAAGACACGGAGAAATCACTTGAACCTAAGGCTGCAGAGGACCACACTAGGTTGTCAGCACGGTTAAGGCTCAAGAGGGGAGCAGAGGATGACAAAATAATCAACGTAGCTTCAACAACCACTTCCTAGGCATATAGTACTCTTCTATAGGGAAAGTTCCAGACAGTAGTGCTGGTTTTCCTGGCATAAAATTGATGAAGAAATCCGTTCTTATCAGCAGATAGGTTGAAAAGTGAAGGGAACTCATCCTTGAGATAGGCAGATCTACACCACTTATCATGCCAAAATCTGATACGATTGTCGTCCCCCTCCTTGATTTGGCAGTTATCCAAGAAGAAGTTAAAAGTATTCGAACTATGAACCCCTATGAAGATAATGTCCTTTCATATCCTAGAGTACTTGTAGGAAGATTGCACAGGGGGATGCCAACACTCTGCTTCAATCTTATACTTGTTGCATATAACTTTTCTCCATAATGCAGTAATTTGATTTCAAAATTTCCACCACCATTTGAGAAACAAGCATGCATTAACATCCCTAATCCTTCTAATGCCCAGGCCTCCATGGGGAACACTCTTTGTAACCTCTAACCATTTTACCAAATGTACTTTTCTTTTTAGACCATTACCACCCCATAAGAAAGCAGCCTTAATCTTTTCAATTTCATGAGCCACATCTTCAGGCATCTTGAAGAGAGAGAGATAGTACACAGGGAGACTTGAGATAACAGACTCGATCAAGGTTAACCTCCCTGCAAAGGATAGCATTTTCCTCTTCCAACCTGATAGTCTAGATCTAACATTATCAAGCACAGGCTTTCAAGTTGATTTTCTACCTGGGTTGGCTCCTAAAGGCAGCCTCAAAAATTTCAGTGGCAAGCTTTGCACCTTGCAATTCAAAAGCTTTGCAAAGGCATGTAGAGACACATCAACCACACCCACACCACAGACAACACTCTTGTGATAATTGATTCTGGGACCAGAAAGAACTTCAAAGCATCGAAGGAGTCATTTGATAATCACCACCTCATGTCAGCATCATAGAAGAGAATTGAGTCATCAACAAATTGAAGGTGCGATATAAGAACCTCATTAACCCCAACCAAAGCACCATAAAGGATGCCAAGATTCAGTGCTCTATTCAGGAGAATGTTGAGCCCCTCAGCCACTATATTGAAAAGGAACGGAGATAATGGATCACCTTGGCAGAGTCCTCTTTGTAGTGAGAACTCATTAGTTGGTGAACCATTCATGACGATGGAAATTCTGGATGTAGACATGCAAGCTTTCATCCAAGAGACCCATTTAGCCCCAAATCCGAAGTTGGACATCAAAGAGAACAAGAACTCCCAGTTTACTGAATCAAAAGCTTTCTCAAAATCTAGTTTGATAATCAACCCTTGTTGCTTGGCCTTCTTCCATCCATCGACTACTTCATTAGCAATAAACACCCCATCTAGGATATTTCTACCCCCTATAAAAGCAGTCTGAGTGTCACAAATAATGGAGGGCATCACTGACTTCAATTTGTGCATTAGAACTTTTGCTAAGATCTTGTATATAGAACCAACTAGGCTAATAGGTCTGTAGTCGGATAGATTCATGTGATTAGCAATCTTGGGAATAAGTGAAATGAAAGAGCTGTTGATTCCATAGGTGAGACTGCTGTGGTTATGAAAATCTTGAAAGAATTGCATGATCTCCTATTTCATTACACTTCAAAACTTCTGATAGCATAGGAGGTTAAACCCATCGAGACCTAGTGCCTTGTTGCTATTACTCTCTTTAATGGTAACCCATACCTCTGCTTCAGTGAAAGCTGATACAAGTTGGTGGGAGATAGCATTGACCTCAATTAATCTGAACTCCCCTCCCAAAATAGGCCTATTAACCCAACTTTCCTTGAAATGTTTCCTAAAATGAAGGAAAACCTCATGTTTAACTCTACTAGGTTCCTGCAAGGATACACCATTTACTGAGATGGAATTTACCATGTTTCTATTGTGTCTGATGCTTGTAATAGCATGAAAGAATCTAGTATTTTTGTCCCCATGCAGAGACTAGTTCATTCTGGATTGTTGATGCCCAAACTATTCCACCCTTCTATAGAGTTTCCACATTTCACATCTAACCTCTCTTCTTCGAGCCATTTCTGAATCAAGCAGTACTCTTTCCTCCGCAATTCTGTCTAAGTCATGCAATTCCTCCTCTATAGCCTTGAGTTTAGTGGTAACATTGCCAAACACTTCAGTATTCCATAACTTTAATTCCACCTTAAGGTGCTTCAGTTTTTGTTGGATTATAAAGCCTGCCCAACCAGTGACAGTAATGTTCTCCCAGTAAGAAATGAAAAGGTGAGAAAAATTAGGATGCAAGGTCCAAACGTTAATAAACCTGAAGGGCTTGGGGTCCCAATCTTTTTCATCCTCCATTATCAATAGAGGGCAATGACCTGATATTAACCTAGGCAGGCCCCAGAGCTTCATTTTAAAGTGAATCAACCATTCTGGGCTGAGCATGATTCTATCAATTCTACTCCCTTTTTGGGCCTCTTGAGAATTACACCAAGTGTAAGATTGTCCAAGAAGGGGCAGGTCACTCAATTTACATTTGTCTATAAACTCATTAAGTTGATTCATTCCCCTATTTCTTCTGACACATCCAACTCTCTCTCCTATGAGCCTCATTTCATCGAGATTACCTCCCAAGCAGCAAGGGTTAAGGAAGGAGTCCTTGAGCTTGATTATGGAATTCCAAACAATGGATCGACTACTGACATCATTAGGTGCATATACATTTAGAAGAACACAATCAAAAGAGTTGTAGAGCATACCTAAGAGAAGAATAAACCTCCTGTTACAGCAGCCCCCAGATAGTTGGAAAACATCTGGGTCCCAAATGCAAAGGAGCCCTCCTGTAGTGCCATTAGGATCCACAGACATAAACTTCATTTTCCTATTTTCCCAAAGCCCATGATGTGACGACCCTGCCACATATAACATTTTATATTTAATTAATCAAGGTGATTTGGATTTTAATTAATAAGTGGCTCAAGAAGATAAAATTGATAAGCTGAATCAATTTAATTTTAAATACGGACCCGTTTGGGAGTTTAATTAATATTTGGTTCAATTTAGTAAAATTAAGATTTGATTAATGGGGTCCAAATTGGAGTCAATTAAGTTACTAATAAGGTTTGAGAAATTAAGATTATTATGAATTAAGTTTATTTATGAGATGTTCAATTGAATATATAATTTATTGACCGAGATTTTGAGTTTGATTTGGAATTGAAGACCTTAATGGCTTGGGAAACCAAGATTAATGATGGAAATGAATTTAATTTAACATTTGGGGTCTTTTTGGGAAACTGATTAACAATCTGATTCAGTTAATAGTTTAATTATACTTAATTGGGCTTTAATGGAAGTTAAATTAGACTAATTTAAACATGTGGAATTTATGATTAGTAGTAATTAATTTAATTATGTGTTAATTAAGATTTATAAAGACTACGTGTTATTTAATTAAGCTAATCTTAATCATAAATCAAATTAAGGATGAATCTAGAATTGTGAGTGTGTGTGGGTGTGCAGAGAAATTAGATATGTGTATATTGTTGTTGTGCTGGCAGCTTGGATCTATGCACGTGTGTAGTGTGGATGCCTCAAGAGAAGTTGTGTGTGTGTGTGATACATGTGCTGGAAATTAGATTCAAACACATAGAAAAGAGAAAAGAGAGAACTAAGAGACAGCGAGAAAGAGAGAGACTGTGTGAGAGAGAGAGAGAGAGGGAGAGGGAGAGAGAGAGAGAGTTCAACCAAATGAAGAAGAAGAAAAGAAGAGGGTTTTATGGGATATCAAAATTCAAGCTAAAAATTATGGAAAATTCATCACAAGGTAAGGATTTCCATCATTTTTCTAGTATTGTTTAATTAATCTAGACAAAAATTGATTCAATGTGGATTTTGAGAGGATTAAAAATAAAGATTTGAAGATCAATTATATAAATTGATAGAATTTGGGTTTTGCATGTAAAATCAAGTTAGGTTGAAGAATATGAGTTATGATTCTTAAGATTTGTTAAGTTTGAGTTTAATTTTGAGAATTATTCTTGAATTGAGTCCCATAGATTACATGCAACAAGATTTATTTGAAGATTTGATCCATGCAATGGAGTTAGGTTCAAATTTATGGAAATTAACTTAGAAATTAATCACTTTGGGTTTGAAGTTAGTTGTTTTCACATGAAATTGAGTTTCAATTGTACATGTATTATGAATTTTTCAACAGTTTTGAAAGTTTAATTCATGTTTTAAAATTTGTGGGTTTGAAATTGGGTTTGATATGGAGAAAATAAATTAAATCTAAATTTGGACAAATTTGGAAATAAATTATAATTTATATTTGAGAATCAAAAATTAGTTTGATTTTGATTTTGATTTTGATTTGAATTTCTTACATGTAAATATTTTTGAAAGGGCTTTATAGCTTTAATTTATGTTTTATAAAACAAAGAAAGAAGAATGATGGACTTATTATACTCATGAAATTATTGGTTTTAATCTTAATGATCAAAGGGATTTTAGTTATGGGTTCATCTTTATTAATAAAATTACATGTTTAAATTGGTTCATGCAAGAGTTTAAGTTTTGAAAATGTGTTTGGAAATTATTTTGTTGGCTTTGAAAGCACAGAAAATTTGTTGGCCGCTCGAGCGGTAAAGTCACCGCTCAAGCAAACATTAAGGCCAACCAGTGTTTTTACAAAGCTTTGCAGACCGCTCGAGTGCACCTTTGGTTGCTCGAGCGAGGACCCTATTTTTAGTAATTTTTGACTAACTCTTTTAAATGTATAATTGCATCCTCATGACATTCTAAGTATTCTTAGGCACCAATTGGAGATGGAATGAGCTAGAAACGCATAAAGAGAGTTGAATTAAAATGAAATAAATATTGAATGGTGCTTCTATTGTGTTTTTGTTATGTGATTTGTTTAGGTGGACATCCAAGGCCTTATATCGACTTAACCCACTGTGAATAGTAACTTTATAAAGATATGTTCAAGTAATTTATTTTTGAAATTGTTATTGTTCTTGAAATCAATATGCGACCGATCGATTGGTTTATTAAAATGTTATTTTCTATGAATGAATGAAGCTTACTTTTGAAACTGTAATGTGGCATCCCTTGAGCATAGACTCTTGCCTAGGGGCGACAATACCATGGCTATTGGATTGATTGAAACATAGAGATCTCTAGTGTTTGACCCTTCGTGGTCCATTGGTTTGACCCTCCGTGGTCCATTGGCTTGACCCTCCGTGGTCCATAGATATTAGAATATTATTGTTTCATGGATGTGCCACTCAAATTAATATTGAAAGATATCGATGATGAAATTTATTGATTAATGAGAGATGATTATTGATATTTGATTGACCTATGTTATTGAACTTCATTCATTAACCTCTTTATTCTGTTATTACTCGCTGGGCTTTAGCTTACTATTTATATGTATATGTAGGTGAGCAAACTAAGTAACAAGGATAGAGAAAGCCTTAGAGTCTACCCGTGTCAACCTTTTGAAGAGCTTTCGGAATGGAGCAAGTTAGGCTCGTGTAGAGCCAAGAAAATCAGTGTCGTTAGCTTTGTCAAAGTTTGGTATTTTGCTGAGTCTTAAACGTATATATGTGTGAGATATAAAAGATTTGTATATGTTTATAGTTTATTATTGTATCATGTAGGTACAAGCTCAATGGACATTTTTATTTTTGTTTTGCTTCCGCCTTAGGCCTTGATATGATATTAAATATTTTGAAATTTTGTCTTTGAGGCCGAAGGTAATCTAGGATTACTGGCCAGTCATGACTTTAAACCCATAGGGGCGGGTTTGGGTCGTAACACACGAGCTGCAAAATCTGAAACAACTACTTTTTTAGTTTCTTAAAGGAATGCAACATCAATGTTCCCATCTCTTAAAAGACGTTTGATTCTGCCCCTCTTTTCAGGCTTATCAATTCCTCTAACATTCTAAGAAAGTAGCTTCATGGAGACCAATTGATACACTGTAAGGCCCCCAGCCACTACTATCACAGCTTTGTCTAGCCCTCTTTGTTGATTATCTCTTTATCCTTCAGCTCTAGGTCGGTAATCTTGTCTAGCACAACAACTTCTTTACCCTTAAAATTAATTCCAAGTTTCTCCCCCAAGTTAATGGTTGCTTTAGCTTCTTTAAGGAGAAAGCTATTTGAACTTGAGTCTCTCTCAGACAGATCTGAGTGAAAGTAGGTGGTCTATCATGGCTTTGATCCTGAAGCCCCAGAATCCCCAATCTAGATGGACCAACATTTTTATGTGGGCTTGAGGACAATGCTTTACTGCTGCTAGGTTTGGTAACAGGTGGTTTGAAGTAAATGCTTACCATGTGATTGGGCTAAGTCCACCTCAAGAATAATGCCAGGCCCAAGATCTTCTTTTGGTCCACTAGGACTTTTGATAAAGCCAGTTGATAAAACTTCCTCAACACTCCTCAGGGGGTCAACATAGCTTTTTGGGTAGGGTGCTAGCTCCTCCATCATTGCTTCTTTCACTCCTACTACACTAGCATGGCTGAGCCTCCCATCACACAAAGTCTTCTCAATCACTGTGTCCACCATCCTCTCCATTGTAGCACTGATTGAGTCCCTTCCTGTGTGTTACCTCATTGGAATAAGCAACTGCCGCACCAACGTCTTTCACACCTATTACAACAGTGGTATTGCTAAGCCGCTTATCACACTAGGTCTCCTCAACCACTGTTTCCACCTTCTCACCACTGTTGCACTGTGTGAGCCTCCTATCACCAGAGTGATCATTCCTCTGTGCCACCATATCATCATCAATCTTCTCCATGCAACACTTCAACACTTTTCTGGAAAATTAATTGCCCCTACCCTGCAAAAGCCTACATTGGAATTGCAATCATCATGCTCAATGTGTGAGCTGCTAAAAGACTTTACTGGGTTGTCAAGATGGTCCTCATACACAAGTATAGGGTGGAGTTTGCCCTTGTACTCCAGATTTATTGTTGAGGAGATGAACTCCATGCAAGATGTAACCACTTTGATTCTGGAGTATGAGAAGGACTTAGGTTGACTGATATCACCCTCCAAGTTAAGAACTGCCCCCACAAGCTTCCAATGTTGTTTAGTGTGTTCCTATTCCAAAGGTTGAGGGGGTATGCCATAACATCTTAGCCACACACATCTCTCATGCTGGATTTGGAGTCCTGGCAGCCATTCCAATACAAACTGACTCCAATCTTTAAACCATTCCTTAATATTGTGGATGTTTGATTGCAACTTTGCTTGGGATTGAAAAATCACGACTACATCACAACCTCCCCTGTTTCTGACCACAACTTGTGTTATCCCATTCTCCTTCAGGGCCTCTTTGATGCTGTTAGTGGAGTAATCCATATTAAGTCTGATTATGACACTGTCATAGAGCCAACTATGGCCATCTTCATTTACTTTGATGGTCGTACTTGCTTTCCCAGTGATTTTGCCCCCTTTTAGTACTTCTGCGAGCGATCTGTGACCAACAAATGGTACTTGACCCCTGCTCGTGGTTGTTTCAAATGCACCTCTGTAGTTCTGGACCCACCTCCTACTTTGCACATCCTTGTTACTCCTATCATAAGAAGCAATGTTGACTTCGAGAACCTTATCATCCACTAAAAGACCATTTGCTTTCTGAATAACAATATATGTTGCTATAGGACAGTCGAATCTCACAAAACCAAATCTTGAGTTGGACACTCTTCTTTTTTTGAAGGGGATAAAGACGTCTTTCACTATGCCAAACTTGGTGAAGAGCTTGAACAGTGATTTAGCATCCATTAAACTTTGAAGATTGTCCCCAAATACTGTGTAGAGGCCCTGCTTTACTTCTTTGCCCCGAGCTCCCCCTCCTCGCCTCTGCTTCACAACCGGAATCCAACCTCCATTACCTTTGGGTGGTCACAAGTCACTCTCTCTCACACTCATCTTTTCCCAAATTTTTAAAGACGAAGATCAGGATATGTAATTCGATTTTCTGTCATTTCCTTCTTAATCTTCTATCTTTATTTTAAATTTCATTGTTTTAGAGTGATTTTCTTTCTTTTTTTTCCTTTTTTTTTTTAATTTGAAATTTGAGATGGAAGGAAATTTGAATTAGTTGATATTAAAGTAGGTCAGGTAGATCATATTAAATTAAATATGATTAAGCAATGGAACATTTTAATATGTGGCCTCTGTTGTTTTTGTAATTGCTTTTGATGTGTTTCTAATATGTGGTTTCCAGTCTTTCTATTGTATATTATATGTTGAAAATCATATGAATTTTTTATTTTTGTATTAAGGGAGTAATGAAAATAAATATATGCTCAAAAAAGCCTAGGTTATCAGAGGTATTCAATGGTTCAAATTCAAGAATCAACAAACATTCATTATGATTTTTTTTGGCTTCAAATAATGACCACATTTATATCATATATGTATATGTTCTATTTTTCTTTTTCTAGAAAATAGTAAATATTTATAAATATCAAGACAATTACATTAAATTAGACAATTAATTATTTAATAAAGTCCAACAATACATGCTCAATAAGTTATATCGCATTTTGTTTAACATTCTACATGTCATTATAATATTAATTTAATAAATCTCACTTATGTTGGTTTGTCGTATCAATCATATATTATTAAATTAATACACGACACATGGGTTAGTAGGAAGAGTTGGTAAGTTTTGTGAGTTTGGTTTTGATTTTTAAAATTTAAAATTTATTAATTACGATTTGGTTACGATTTAAAAAAATTAAAACTCGATAATTGCGGTTTAGTTCACGAATTAAGGATAAAAAAAATCAAGTAAACTTGAAAATGACACATAAGTTAGTAAGAAGAGTTTGCAAGTTTTGTTGATTTGGTATTGATTCTTAAGAAGAAAAAAAAACAGTTCTCTCTCTCTCTCTCTCATGTGAATGCAAGCAAGCACAAACTATCATTTAGGGCTTTTGAGATGGAGCAAGGTGAAATGGAGGTTAGATTCTAGTCGTCAAGTAGATGAGGGAAGGTGAAGCTCGAGGAAAGGATGCAAGTTATGGTTTACTGTATTTGTGGATAATCTACCAAAAGCAATGAATGCTAAATCCCTATTTAAACTTTTCACAAAGTTTGGGATTGTAAAGGATGTTTTCATCCTTTTAAAAGAAGAAACGTGACAAACTCAATATTTGATTTCATGAGATTTGACTATCATATAGCAGTAGAAGTTGCAATTCAAAAAGCGAATGGTCATTGGGGGATGGCATGGTGCTAGAAGTAAAAAATGCTACTTATGGCAGGAGCAATAGATAGGAGTATAGCAAGAGAAGACCCCAGAATACCAGAACATCTTTTGAAGTAAGTGGAAGTAGGGGTAAAGTACCATTTGTCGGTCAGAGAACCTTCGTGGAGGTACTGAAAAGGGACACAACCACAGTAGCTGGAAAAGCAACCATGACCATAAGAGTCAATGAAGATGGTCATTGATGGCTTTATGGAAGTGCAATAATCAGAATCAATTTTGAATATTCCACTCAAGACATTAAAAAAGCTTTGAAGAGGAAATGGTTGGATCAGGTGATGGTTAGAAATGGGGGAGGTCGTGATGTAGTGTTGACCTTCAAATCGCAAAAGGAGTTGAAATCAAATATATGCAAGGTAAAAGAATGGTGTAAAGATTGGAGTCAATTTGATGGAATGAAAACTAGGATTTCATATTGAGTAGGAGAGATGTGTGTGGTTAAGATGTTATGGCATATCCTTAAATCTCTGGAATAGGAACACATTCAACACTATTGGCAGCTTGTGGGGGTCAGTTATTAATCTAGAATGTGATATTAGTCAACCATTATTCCTCTCCCATGCCAGAACTAGAGTGGTTACATCATGTATGGAGATTATTAACAAGACTATAAACTTGGAGTGTAAGGGTGTGTTTGATTGGGGGATTAAGGGGGGGGGGGGGGGGGGAGACTATTTACTATTTGGATTGTAATTTATTGGAAGTGGATAATCCGGTGTTTGTTTTTTTTTTTAGGTTGCCGGACATGGAGTTCGGCCGGACTCCATATCCCTCATATGAGGGACTATTGTATCCTAGGGGGGTGGGATTATTTCCATGGGACTATTTACTGTTAGAATTATGTGGTGAAATGACCATTTTGATCCTCTACTATTTAATTGTGTATTATATTTAGTAAAATTCAATAAAATTTAAATGTCTCAATTTGAAAGTAAAATAATTTTATTTAACTTTTTATTGATGTTTTATTTATTTAATTTTTTAAAATAATTTTTTATAGATATTTTATTGATGTTTTTATTTTAAAATTTTGTTAATATTTTATTTAATTTCATTATTTAAATTTTAATAGATGTTTTATTTAATTTATTTTAAAATTTTGTTAGATATTTTATTTAATTTCATTATTTAATTATTATTATTTTTAAAAATAAATTTATTTAATTTTGTAAAAAAATAAAATAAAATAAATTTTTATTTAATCTAGCTAAAAATAATTAAAATATTAAACATATGTTTAATATTGCTATTATTAAACAATTGAAAGGGTAAAATAGTCTTTTGCTCATTCATCCTATCCAGTCCGTCCAACCAAACATTAGATTCATTAAAAATAGTCTTTTCCAGACTTCTAATCCCCTGAGAAAAACACGGGATACAATCCAATCCAACCAAATAGTCCAGGGGA